GGGGATAACAAGTGTAACAAAACTATTTCAAGGGTTAAAACTGCTTTTCTTTTCCAAAAAGGATCAAAAATGCAAAGTTTTTAGATTTTGGGCTAAAATTGTAAAAATTGCAAAAATTTGGGTTTTAACCGAAAAATACTATTCTGGAAGGTCTGAAACTGCCAAAGAATAAGTCTTGAGTTATAAATATCATTTAAACAAGTCTATGATGCAAAAGTGTCAAGAAAATGTTTTAAGGGCCTAAAATGACTTTTCTTTTATATAAAGGACTAAAATTGTTATTTTATAAAAAGAAAGGGGCTGAAAAGGTCAAACCACTATTTTTAAACCAATTATTTTAATTATAGAATATTGAGACAAAAATACTAATCTACGGCTTACAAAATCAAAAGACAAATACACGTATAACTCCAAATACCGTTATAAACAAATCGCTCGGTCTCGAGTCGATACAAAAACAACAATCGTTCAATCGAATCCTCCAATAGTTATGCGATACCTAAGACAAGTAAACATTCGACACTTGGGATTGAAAGTTTCAAATCATGCTTGTTGGATCTTGCAAATCCATTAACATGATCTTTGGGGCCCAAGGGAAAACGATTATATGTTATTGGGCCTCCTATGACCCAATTCCGTATAAAGGGACCTTCAATGGCTTTTATGTGCTATTGGGCCCTAGTGGTCCATTAGTATTGCTAGTAAGGTCAAAGTAATCAAATGCGAGATGGGCCAGCGTGTTCTTCGCATCCCCGACAGCCTAAAGTGACTCACGAAAGTGGTAGGACTTCATACTCCTCTTCTCTCGGTTGCTAAGGCTTGTGAGTAATCAAAGTAAACAGACTCAGGTCGTTAATCAATAGTAATCAAGGTGGTTTGGATTAAGTGAGTAATAACGGACGGCGCCTCTAAGGGTCGTTTGTAGTTGGTAGTTATAACCAGTCATTATCAGGCATAGTTATAACGACTCACTAGAATTGATAATCTCCGACACCACCCGAGTAATCAAGGAAGAGTAATCAAAAATCATTTGTTGTGGCGGTATAGAAATTAGTAATCAAGTATATCTTTCGTCATCGGAAAACATCGGGTTTTTCGGGGAATTCAACAACACTCGCTCGTAATCTAAATAATTGTAATACAAAACTCCCTTTTTATACACGTTATGAAATCATTCATGCATCAACTTATGGATCTTCACACTTTGATAAACTATTGTCTTTTTAGAAAATATCGGATTTTCTGGGTTTTACGAACTACCCAAATCATTTTTATCACAACATTGCTTATGAACTCACCAACATTTCATATGTTGACGTTTTCCAAAATAACTTGTATTCTCAGGTAACAGGTAAGCGGAAGGGTAATATCAAGTAATGTTAGGACGTTATGTTTTTGAAAACTCTCAAACAATTTATGTTATGAGAGTGTAATATTTAAAACAATGTACTGGATGTAAACAATATCAGTTGTAATGTATTGATGCATGGTGATGTTTATGTTATGATTCATGTATATTCATTGTGATGGTATTCAATTTAAGTCACGCGAGCCCCCGGACGTTTCCGCCGTCTGGTTTCGGGGGTGTGACAATATACATGTGACGAGGAGCAGATCAAGACACATGGAATTACATAAACAAATTCGTGAGTCTCATTGCTAAGGGTTCTTAGAGTTGGTATTGAGATCAATTGGAAAACCCAACCCTAGTTCTTCAGATCCGAAGATCATAATGAAATCAGGCATGTAATCGTTTTTTAATGTTTAAGTTTTCTTTTAATCAGATTTGAGATTAAAGATCCAAAGTTTATGATTTCACGTTTATGTTTTGGTTATCAATATGACAAACAGTTGTTCCACCTCTAACACACAAATATGGATACAAATCGGATCCACTAGATTAGATCTAGTAGGAATCCTATCCAACAAAACTCTCTAGATCATGATATTAACTTTTCAAGGCAATAAAGTATTTCACTAGTTTCCGGATATGAAGTAGGAGAATCACCTCATCAATCCATCTTCTAGTATCACTGACTGTAAACGAACCATCATCCCCAACATCCCATTACCACTTATCTTTCTGTATAGACAAAATCCACATCATCCAAAAAAGCCAACAAAACCATGAGTTGCCTGATCTTTTCACATCCTCGGATTTGATGTCTCCAACTCCAACACCATACAACGTTTCTTTTCCTATTAGCCACCGGAGAATCTTTAAGAGTCTCTAAACCAAATATCCTTGGAAACCGAGAAGATAATTATTGTTCACCTACTCAGATATGAAGCCAAAAGTTAGTATCCATTCCATTACCATATCTTCTTTTTAAAAATGAGTCCATCTCCACACCCTGATTATGAAACCGATAATTAGAATATACAAACTGAGCCCACAGACTTGAAATCATAACTCGGTTCTAGATTTAGTCAATGTCACCAGGAACTCCATCCACATCTTTCATTACTTTAACTCAAAACAAATTTTCATTATTCAAGAACCTCCACCTCCATTTCAGGAGAAGAGAAAAAATGAAAGCCACCAAACTTCCAATATCAAGACCTCCACGAATTTTAGCAGATGAAAATCTCATTTTCCTAGCTGAACTTTAGAAAAAAACAATATGAGTAGACTTCGCATCTTCAATGACAACATGAAGCCCTTCCATAACAAGCAGGAAAAGTAACGAAGATAAAGGGTATACACGTCGAAGGCCCTTATGTAACTGGAACTCTGACGTAGTAATCCCGTTTATAAGAATAGAAGCCCTAGCTAAAATCAGACAAGCTCTAATCCAAGATCACCATTTAGCGCCAAAATTCATAAATTACATCACATGATCAATAAATTCTCAACTTACCGAATCATAAGTCTTTTCAAAATCAATATTCAATAACATCATTTTTTTTTGTTTCTTCTTATACCACTCCGTTACTTCTTTTACCATGAGCGGCCTATCTAGAATATGTCATCCTTTCACAAAGGCAGACTGCTCGAAACTAACAACACAATCAATCAGAGTAGCAAGGCGCATAGCTAACACTTTGCCAATGATCTTCTATTGAATGTCGATGAGACTAATAGGATGGAGATCATTGACAACAATCGGGTTATTGATCTTTGGAATCAATGATCTTATAAAGATAACCAGTTTAAGATCCAGTTTTTCGAGAATTCGGTTTACGATCCGGGGTTAAATCCAATTTGCAATCTGAAATGTCGAACCGTTTTGGATCCGCTCTACCCGAATTATTCAGTCCAGTTTGGTCAATAACCGGTTTTGAACAAAACCGGTTTTCAAATCGGATCAAATCGGTTTCAAATCAGGGATCCTGTTTGGTTGTGAATCCCTCATCGACCCCTCATCTTTGAATTTAAAGCACATACATATTTCCTATAACCCTACTCATTTATATCCATTGGTGGTTTATAAGATAAGACTGAATTTCAATTTCACTTGAACCACACATATAGTTGTCCCACTGGCGTTACAAATGGCTAAAAAATTTCTAAAGATTATAAAGTTAAATCTCACAACCGTGCAAAACATTGTTAATGGCATGTGTGGGTCCATGATAGCAAATTGATATAATGAGTTGTATTACTGTCTTACAAAACCCCCATATTTTAAATGCAAAAATAGTAGCGTAGTTTCAGTGATATGTTAATCAAAGCGTTCTACCATCATTTATTCCTATTATAACATTGTGTCATAAAATATCCACCTTATAATGCAAATGCAAACTAAATTAACTGCTATATTTGGTCGATATTTGAAAGCAGAATATCGCAATAAGAGGAAATTGAAAGTACATTGCATTAATAAGAAAATTGAAATAAAAATATATGTAATAAAATGAAAAAGGATAATATAAATATATAGATAGATAAGTACACATTGTTCTTTTGCATTTGATCTTTAAAACATCAACAAAGTATATATTACGATTAGTTATCGTTTGGTTACAATCAATAACTATATCACGTTATGTTGTTGATTGATCATATATATATATATATATATATATATATATATATATATATGTCATTAATTTCTTAAGAAATATGATTAATTTTTTAATTAGATAGTATAAGTTAATATAGCATGAAGCATGAGCAGAGAATGATAGAGTGAGTATAGATGGCCCAAATGTTGAAAGTGAAGGATGAGGGGGAAATGGGGGACAAGGAGGGCACAAACCTTTCTTGAACGTGTGAATATTTGGTATCGGAGTTCACAAGTCTTGTCAAAACCCTTCATTTGCATGTGTGTGTCTTTTCAACCCAATTTTTTAATTTTTAAACATGACAAGAACGCCTTACTATTTCATAAAATAATGGAAATTTAGCTTTTTATTCGTGGAGTCATTCAAAAGTTTTAGTATTATAAACTTAAACGGTTTTTTTTATTATTATTTAATATACTTACCGACTTAAGTATTTTACATGTAGAGTTATTTTTGAGTTGACCCCAATATAAGGATGTAATGTGTTAAAGCCCACAAAAATATGGCTCAATCAATGTATTAACATACTAACATTTTATTTGTTTTATTTTTTTTTCTTTTTTTTTTTAATTAATTTCTCTCAACCCCTCTCGTATTAAAAATTGATAAATATTATAAAATCTGGAATGTCCGGTAAATTGTTCATCTAATTTTATTCCAACCGGTTTATTCACTCTAGAAAAAAAAACTTTGTATACACACACACATTAATTACCCATTAAGGGGGTGTTTGGCTTAGCTTTTCACAGCCCAAAAGTCCTTTTTGGAAAAGTTACAAAAAGTCAGGTTTTCTGACTTTTCCAAAAAGTTCTTTTTCCTTGTATCAAAACTCCAAAAGTAGCTTTTAAAACTAGTTTTGACAAACATCTTTTGTTTTTTTTTTCTTTTTCAAAAAGGACTTTTGGCTGTAAAAAGCTAAGCCAAACACCCCCTAAGTCATTTACCTAAACACATGAATAATTAGAATCACCAGATTTTTCAGAAAACAAAAAATGGTAGATTATGGAGTTTGGGCCCGACAACTAGGGCAAACCATCGTTTTCCATACATTGGCCCGTGGGCCACAGAGCCCTTTTATGGTGCGTTGGTTGTGAGCTCTCTAGCGTTATGCCAGTTTGAAATTGGAACTTTTTTTTCCCATATTTGTCATTGTTTCATTGATTTATGAACTTATAAACCAGTTTCTCAATCTCCTCACGTAAAAACCTTTTAGTTATTTTGAATATTTTTTTAAGCATTTGATGTGAGAGGTGGTTCCTCCTCTATTTATTGCCAAGTGCCGACCTTGTTTGGTTTACAATGGCTTCTCTTGTTTTATTTACCTCCTTTTTTCTAGTTATTTGCATGCATTCCTCCAACGCTCGTCTTCTTCTTACCATCGTTAAACATAGATCTTCTACAAAAATCACATCATCTTCAGGTTTCTCCCTCCATCTTTCTCCTTCTCTCTACAACCTCGTATAAGTTTAGGGTTTTATCATATTCATGTAAATATGATAAAAGGACAAAGATGCTAATATTTACATGTTCAACTTGTAAACAGATTGCAGAAAAGATTAATGGTGGCGATGAGATGGTTGAAAGAACACGGGCTCCAGTTATAAGACCTCCTGCAACTCCATTTTCAAAGGCTGAATTTGGAGAATCGCTGACAGGAAATGAACAAAACGGTAAGAAGAATCGTGGGGTACTTGTTAAAGACGAAGGTGATGTGGATCTAATTCCACACACCAAATCTTTTGTTTCACTTTCATCTCACAAAGAACATCTTGGTGTGCTTTATTCGGATTATTCAAGACCAAGAACGCGCCCACCCTCCCACAATTAATTGGTTAATCGTTTTTGAGATTTATATTTTATAGAAATTTATAGATCATGAGACATATAAAGATGGTGATTTTTTTTACAAATTTTAATGATTTTGGTCATGTTTATAAATCTGTTAGTTTCTAAATGAGTTTTGTATGATTGGTGATTTATAATGATATTTGGCATGTTCAATGGAATTTGGTCCGATAGTTAAATGATTATTTCAAAAACTATATCTAGTTTTTTTTATAATTGTCTTTTTTAACTAATTAAGCAAGAATGATTGGCATGCAGATGCAGGAAGTGATATTGTTGAATCTTCTTCCTTCCATCATGTGGCTTTGCTAAAGGGAAAACATGTAGAGGTATTAGTTAATTAATTTGATATATATGTTTTTTTTAATAAACACCCACAAACCTGGAGGATCCTACCTATAACTTTTCAGAATTTTGATTATAAGAAGTTTTATAATTTGGTCGGGAATTATTTTTAATGCAATTATATATATAATGGATTTTTAACACTTACGATCATACTAATTTCATACCAAACTAGTTGTTAAAGTTAAAAATGTATTAAAATATGTCACACCGAACTATCTTAATTAAACATCATACTTTAGTTTTGTTCAAAATTAGCTATAAATAATTGTTTTAAAAAAAGTATTCAGGTATACTTATATTTTGATGTAAATTATATATGATTTTTTATTGCTTGGAATTTCGAATCAACGAAACATTGGCTCCACTTTTCCGAATAAAATGTTGGTTAGAAGGTAAAAGACTTCCATAATGTAAGGAGGCTTTTGACCTTGACCTTTGACCATATGACCTTAGCATCCTCCAATATTTAAATAAATAAATAAATTTAGAATGTATGCAATCAAAGTAGAAAACTTATTTAAGATGACCAAAAACGATTTTTAAAATAATATGAACACACAAAATAAAATATTTATGTGTCTGATATGTATTTGTAGGATTCAAAAAAACCAAGTGTATCTCGATACCCTGGAAAAGAAGAAGTTAAGCATTCAGAAAATGACGACATTGTAGTAACAGACTATCAACCACCTCACCGGAAAGCACCAATACATAACAAATGAGCTTTTTGCATGCTTCCATAGTCTTAGATGAATTCATGATATGTATTGATAGACGTACCCTTAGAAATTATGTACAAATGTAGAGCGTTTGGAAGTCGAATGTTTGCTTGATATTATATTTTTATAATTTTATATTAGTCAAAATATTCGATGAGATTGAGAAGAAGCCGAAGAAGCTATTGTCATTGTTGTTGCTTAATGTCTAGCATGAATTCTATTGTTTTTAGAGAGTGATACATATACTTTGTTATAAAAGACAAATTTAGTCTAAATTATTAAATGTTTGCCAAAAACTAAATAAAAAATAAGAAATTATCCATATAGTCACTGAAAACGCAGGGGCTCCTTATTGGCCTGTGATTCTCTCATGGGCCGAGCCCATAAGCTCATACTATTCAAGGTTGAAAAAAAAATATATCTTCATCTTTACATTTTCAAATGAGTTAGAGTAAATCTGATATGAGTTATAGAGTTATTGGAAATCTCAAATGAGTGAGAGATATCCTAGACGAGTTACAGGAAATCCCATATTAATTAAAAGAAATTCTAGATAAGAGGAAATCTCATATAAGTTAAAAGGATATCTCAGATGAATTACAGGAAATCGCAGATGAGGTTCCCACTCTGTAATTTCCTCTTTTCAAATGAAATTGTACAAATGTTTAACGCATAACCCTATCCATTAGACATTTGCACAATCTAATTTGAGTAGAGCAAATCATAGATGAGGCTAACCTTATGTGATTTTCTTTATTCAAGTGAGATCGTAGAAATGTATAATGTATTTGTTAAAAAAAAAAAAATGTATAATATATAGTGGACGTCTTGTAACTCACTTAAACATGAACAATTTAAATAATTATGTTTATTTTTCAAATTTTAGAACGTTTAACACACACATCCTTTAAATCATACTTGTAAACTAAACATTTGGCTACCATAAGACTTGAACTCTCAACCGCTTAGAAGTGGGACACAATTTCGAACATTTCATATCCCTAACACTTCATGGTGCATGACAACTTCCCTCAAAAAGAGTTTTCATTAACACAATAATCTTTTATACGACCCTTTCATCGATCTTTATTAAATGCTCATGTTTTCCAAAAGATTGAGCCAATGAGTATTAATGAGGCCCAAATGTATTAACAAGACCATCCTTGTAAGTTCCTAATTCGTTCGGAATACACACTATAAAAAGGGTTCTTAAGTTGATGTTTGCAACAAAACCATTCATCCAATTTGAATGTAGATCCAATCCGAAACCAGCTTGGTTTTATCAGATCAAATCAGATTTAACCGGACCACATTTTAGATGTTAGAAACCTGATCAAGCCAGATAAGCTAAACTTGTTATGCACCAATCCGATGAAAAAGAATATGACCATGTAAGTTAATTAAAGTTGTGTTTGACACGTATGAACTACCTTATTTGTTAGTTTTTACCAATATCTACTTGTTTATGAACTAGCTTATAACTATCTTTTTTTTTTTTTTTTTTTTTTTTTTAAAGTAACCAAGCATCAATCAATTGTTGGTTACAAGATGCAATAATATTAGACTAGCCAGACCTTACAAAACAATACGTGCTTCCCATAAAATGGAAGCAGAGGACACACACAACACAACAACAACACACAAAGATGAAACTACAGTTGTCCCTTAAGCCTACATTAACACAATAACTCAGCATCAGCATGTCCTTCATTAACATGACACCATCGAAGGACATGGACTTCCAGAGAAGCTTCAAAGGTTTCAAAATCAATCACTCTTCTTCTTGTCCGAGCATTCTTACAACCTCAGCCACACCTTGTGCTATTTCCTTCTGGATCACACCATCTGGCATGTCGAATGTCCTCCTCTTCATGGACAGTGATCGCCCACCACCACCACCTCCTGGCTGCGGATCCACCACGTCCAGCATTGCTTCCAGCTCATCCACCATCGACCTTTTTGCAGCCCTAACCATGATATCAGCCCCCTAACACAATCAAATCCATTTTCTCAAAAACAACACATTACAAGACTCATCATGTCAATGGTAGAAAATTTGCAAAATTTACCTCAATGGCGTCAACAGTGAGAAGCAGCACAATGACCTTCTCAGAGAACTTCTGCCTCTCCTCTGCATCGACAGCCACCCGGCGACGGTATGAGAAATTGTTGAACAGAGTCCTGAGTTCCTTAAGCTTTCCCTTTGCAACAGCTAGCTCACGTAGGGCACGGAGAGTCTGGGATCTCTTGATCAGATATGCTCGGAAAGTCATCTGAATAAACATGGCGGCATCTTGAGGTGATAACTCCTTCTTCTTCCCTTTGTTCCTCTCCAATGCTCTACCAAATGCCTATCACAATATTCAAATTGTTATCCACAGAGACAGATCTTGATCTCTATAGCAACTAAATGATGATCAATTAAGGTTTAAATGAGTAATCGATGTGAAGGACTGGTAGGGAAACATAATCGAAGGATCAGGGTAGAAACCTTTTTCATGAGAAGAGCGCCATGATCAGGTGAACCTTGGATTTCTACGATACGAGGTACTTTCTCTTTCTTCTTATCTTTCTTCTTGTTCTTGTTCTTGTCTTTCTCTTTCTTCTCTGATCCACTATCATCTTCAATGGCGGCATTGGCAGTTGACGCGGTGAAAGTGTACTTGCGTGCATCTTCTCCCTTCCTTTTAATCTCAGCCGTCCATTTACTGGTCTTCTCCTTTTTCTTCCCACCTTTGATCTCTGTTGTCAACTTGAACTTCCGATCTAAACCGTCCTTCTCGGAACTGTTGATCTCCGCCGTCCAAGTGTACTTCCGATCGGACTTCGCCTTCTCGTCGTTCACCAGATCAAACCCTTGCTCGAGAGCAGAGACGCGGTCGGAAAGTGACTTAAGGTACAATTCCGCTGTTGTGGATCGGCGCCTGGTGATGATCTTCCGAGCTCGGTGATGGTATCGATGTCATCAAATGGAGACATGAGATCAAGTGAGGGGAGAGTAGGGTTTAAGAGTTCAAGTGCTAGATCAAGCTCAGTGGTGGCTTCAAAGGGGAAAGTAGGGTTTAGAAGCGCAAAGGGTTTTGGAAATGGGGGGAAAATTTTGGATGATTCAGATAAGTAGTAATCGATGATATCAAGTTTGCTGGATCGACTCATGGTTGGATTTCAATGGCGGATGTTCTGAAAATGATTGAGAGAGACGCGGATGAAGAAGATAAAGGAAAACCGAGGGTTGTGCTGGTGTCAGGGCTAAAAATGGAAATTAACCATTTTTTTTTTTTTAATAGCTAATATTTTCATTCCATCAATATTTTAATTGTCATCGTAATGAGTGAATTGTTGTGGTTAAATAAACGTTATTGGGAAAAGATTTGTGGATGAGATTTGGTGTGAATAGATATGAACAGCGCACAAGAGAAACTTTAAGGGTAAAGTTTGATAGCAATTTTACATAGAAAAAGAATCTTTATGTACGGTGATAATTTTAGTAATGGGGCGCATCTGGAGATTTTTGTCTTTTTTGCACTATCAGATTTCCTTCACCAACTCCACATCTATCCACCAAAACTTCTAAGCATACGCCTCTTTTACAAGTTTGCCCTTTCTATGGTAAATACATATTTTAGAGTACCTCCGATCATCATTAAGCTGTAATGATGTATGAATTAGGGGTGTTTGCGGTGCGGTTTGGTGCGGTTTTGAATCAAAACCGCACCGCATATGCGGTTTGAGTTTTTTTGAAACCGCAAACCGCACCACGAACGTTCGGAACCACGTTAAGCGGTGCGGTTTATGCGGTTTGAGTGCGGTTTGTGCGGTTTGATGAATTGTTTAGTTAATAATTTTCACAAACCAAAACATTTTGGTTATTTTAGTATTAGCATTTTGAAAACGAAAAATTTAGGTTGGATTCAGTCCTTTGTGATAGGAAACAAATAAAAAGAACCCATAACAAGTAATTTGAGAGTATGTGCTCTATGTGTAAGTTTAATACTTTAGTCAAGTAATTTGATATATATTGTAACTGTATTTCTTAATTTCATGTTCGGCAAAACAGTAAATCATATAATTATGTCATGTTCGGCAAAACAGTAAATCATATAATTATGTCATTTTCACTTAGAATTCTTAATAACTTTAATTGTAATTTCTACCAACAATCATAGAATGCTAATTCTATTTATAAAACTAAATAAACGAACTTCTTTTCATTTTTATATGTAGAAGGATATATATAATATATATATATATATATATATATATATATATATATAATATATATTTATATATGGTGTGGTGCGGTGCGGTTTGAACCGCGGTTTCACAGTTAAAAACCGCAAACCGCACCATGTAGTGCGGTTTACAATATTAGAAACCACAAACCGCACCGCGGAAGTTCTAAACCACGTTATGCGGTGCGGTTTGGTGCGGTGCAGGCGGTTTATGCAGATTGGGCGGTTTGGTGCACACCCCTAGTATGAATGATGTATGAGTATTGTGTACGTGGCATGTGTATAACGTTCAATAATCACTCCGTTCCACCTTGTGTGTGGTGTTGAGTCGTGATCATTGTCACGGGTTGTAAGGGAGAACAGAGGCATACTAGAATGGGAAGGAGGTCCAAGTTGTAATTTCCTTACCTTGTAATTTCCTTACCAGCGGGTCATGACTGGTGGCACGATATACGGATTAAGCAAACCGTTCAACCATTTAATCTCTATGCATTGATTACTTGTACTTCTTGTTTTAATACGTGTATCAAAATAATTTTGTATTTTTCAAATTAGTTTGTATATTTTTAATATTTTGTAAATTAGTTTTATATAATTTTTATTAGTTT